CTGCTGAAGTTGTCGGTGAGTTGGAATACTGAGATTATCTTGTTTGTTTGTTTTTTTTTTTATTTGTCATTTGTGACCCTTTGTGCTCTCTGACTTCCTGCATAATCTATACATTTTATTTATTAATATACCAAAATAAAAAGGTAAATAAATTACAAAATGTTATTGCTACTTTTATTTTATTTTATTTATTTAGACCCCTCGACCTCACTGAAGTTATATTGAGTCAAAGATCGTGAAAAGAACTGTCATTTCTGACCTTCTTTCTCTAATGTTTTTGTGGCATTGTTGATTTTTTTGTATTTTCTGTTGTCATTCACATTTATTTTTTACAATGCTTTGAATTCGCACAGCGATTCTCTGCCATAAAAATCACAAAACCTACAGTATTAACAACACATATTAGTAAAAAGTAGAATTCCTTTGAGGATTGTCAAAATGTTTTGGGAAATCGATTTCTCCCACACCTAGACTTTGCCTTTCTCTTCTCACTGAAACTCTTATTTCTTCATCAACAATAACAACAACACGTAAAGTCAGTGCACAAAAAAGATTATTTCAAAAGATTACTTTTCATGTATTTTACCACTGCATTTGGATTAATGTATTTTACAAGCAATGTTAGGTAATTCAAGCTGGAGTCACCTTTAAATTATTCTCTTGTACACAATCAAGGAAGTGAAAGTGCAAACTTTCACAAAACCTCTGCTGAGGCAGCTGAGTTTGGGGTATCATCTTACCACAAACTGCACCAACACCAACTGGATCTGTGAAAGACTGATCCAAATTCCACTTGATTTTCTTATTAATACTAAGGTAAAAAAATCTCAGCAATGGAATCAGTACAGAACAACCATATTTTCAACTTTGAAAGAAATTATTAAGTTTAAGACTGGTAGACTGGTAAAACTATATAAACAAACATCTAACACGCTACATTAGACAAGGAGAAAATGTTCCAGATAATAGCTGAAAGTTGAACTAGAAACAAACTGTTAGTTCAAAGTGAACTAACAGTTAGCAGTGAAATAAAAGAACAAGCAAAGAAAACCATGAAATATGACATTTATCTAACATATATTTACCAATCTTGAGGTTCTGACGAATGCATTAACTGCCAGTAATGTTTAACAGACAATAATGTTTGTCCTTCCTGTGTGAGGAACAGTCATTTCCTTTATTTCTACGACTACTGCTATCGCTAATGCGTACAGCCCTAAAGCGAAGCACAGCTGCTCATTTAGCACAATGCTAAATAAACAGTAGACTCTTGAGGCACTACAACTGTGTTATCATCTGTAACAACATGAGAGAGTGAGTGCACAACATTTGTTAGTTTACGTATCAACATTGTCAGATAGTACTGTCAGTATTGTAGGTAAAAACTTAGCTACTAACCACAGGTTCATTTTCTGGCTCTGGACTTTCTTCTGGTTCTTCTTCTTGTTCTGGATCAGACTGACGTTCGTTGTCCGGTAACCATTTCTCTCTCCCTGCTTAACCGCTGCCATGGTTACTTGAAGCAATCCTCAAGTTTTCCTGCCATGTAGAGGTGGGCGGGGCATACACCAGCTCATTAACATTTAAAGGTAAAGGCACAGAAACTGACCGGCCAGATCGGGTACCAAACTCAGCGATCACGACAGTTAACATGTTGTACTGTTCAGATTTTTTTTTTTTTTTGCTTTTTTTTTTCTTATCTGCCCTTGATCTTTCAGAGGCCCCCTTAGTGCCCCCTGGAGGTCCCCACCTTGAAAACCACTGGTCTAATAGATTATTTTAGAACTTCCAGTTAGTCCGTCTGGTCTTCATTGAGTCCTTGATGATTTAGATGTTGTGTAATATTTGTTTTCCCTGTAAAACCATATTAACTCCTTCCTCCTCAGACAGTCCGACATCTATGATCTACTCGAAGGAGTACATCGAGATCGGCGTGCCCAACACTCTCATCTGCTTCGTCAATGAATTCCACCCACCTGAGATCAACATCATATGGACCAAGAACGGGGAACTGGTGAACCAGAGTTACATCAGTCAGACTCAGTACTACTCCAACAGCGACTACACTTTTCGCACCTCCTCCTACCTCAGATTTACTCCCCAGGAGAATGACATCTATGCCTGCGGTGTTGAACACATGAGCCTGCAGACACCACTCACTAGGTTCTGGGGTGAGTCTAAGAGATTTCAGTGGTGGGGGTTCTATTTTACTGGGTTCTTTTCTGGGTTTGTTCATTTCATAGAGTGTTTTTAATCTATCATTGCTGAATATTGGTGTCTGTAGTGTCTACTGTGTATTTTTTACATTCTCCAGAGGTTGAAACTGATGAACTGAAGAACAGCCAGAATGTGGAGACTGCGCTGTGTGTCTGTGGTGTGATCTTGGGCCTGATGGGAGGTTACATCGGTCTGTGGTTCATCAGGAAGGCCAGCAAGTCCTGCAGGAGGTGAAAAACACATCAGATTCAAGAGTGGTCAGATGTGTTAATTTGGGAAATTCTGTCTTCCTTTCCTTACACTATATATATAAAACCAGGAATTTACAGTTACCTGTAAATTAATACAACTTCTAAACTTGACTCTGTATCACCTTTACTCAACTTCCTGTCTGTTAAATAAAAATGACTTAAATAAATGCCAAACAAAACTGATCATAGTTTTGGAAAGTGTTTGCGGAAGCAGTAATGCTAAGCTCCATATATGTTTTGCAATGTTATCCTGACCTATCTACTTCTTTTTCATCTTCCAGATCACCTGCCTCCATCTCACCCTATCTTATTACTCAAACCATCTCCATGACATGGTTAACAACATTCACAAAACATTCCTTACAGGTCTTCCTCTACTCCTTTTGCCTGTCGACTCCATCTCCAACATCCTTTGTCTGATATATTTCCTATCTCTGCTCCGCACATGTCCAAACCTTCACCTCCCTGACTTTATCTCCAAACTGCTCCACCTTAACTGCCCCTCTGATCTGATCAGTTCTTATTCCGTCCATCCTGGTCACTGCCAGTGAAAATCTCAGCATCTTCGTCTTTGCCACCCCCAACCCAGCCTTTGATCTACTGTCTCTGGACCCCCTCAGTGCATTGTCTATTACTTTTGACGGCTGACCCTAGGTACTTGGTACTAGCCTATGGTATCTAAAAATAATTTTACCAGCCTGCGTCGACAAGTGTACCTATCTGCGTTAAAATAATAAATTCCAGGATTGCTAAGTAAATATTCCCGACAAATAAAAACAAACTGCAGAGCCTTTAGCTCCATCATGTTGACTTATGTGGTCACTTATGGCATAAGTGTTTGGCAAAAATCTGCTACTCCTCCAACAACTGCCTGTCACGGCTGTCAGTCTTACTCTAATTCTTGCACTAAATGTGGATAAACTGCCCCTGCTGGATTTATGCAGCTGGGGCCCGAACCTAATTATGTTCAGGTTGATGGATGAGACAGTTGCCACATTTTAATATGCAAGTGTGTCAGCTTTTTCTGAGGGATAATGTTCAGAGCAGAAGGCATATAAGAAAAGGCACAAAGGCTCTGAATGTGTCAGAAAGGACAGGATGTCTTGGTGTCAGTGAACCAACAGGGGGCACCTCAAAAATCCAAGAGAAGCAGCTGGAAGAACATATGGTTTTTCTCACCTAGTTGAATGATGGAGGTGGGAGATGTGGGGATTCAGACATTCATCCATCACTCTTCACATCTCATGCATGTGACACGTGAGTGAAGAAACCGGAGCTCAGACGCTCAGCTGAAATATCCCCACTCCAAACAATGTACTTGTGTTGAGTTCATGATGATTTTCTTTCAAACATGGAATGCTGACAAAACCAAACTTTGCAGCTTTTTTTTCCCCCCCAGAGTCGACAGTGTACACAGTGGTGCGAAAACTCTACTAGGGAATTTTACCTTCAAAGCGGACAGCAACGAATCCAGCATTGATCGAATGCAACAGATTTATATCCACATCCATCACAAGGTTTAGGAAAGAAACAAAAACAGGATAGGGTTTAATGATGTAGGGGTTGAAGGAGGACAATGATGCAGTGAATGATGGAGCTTTTAGTGTTGATAATACTTCAGTCAAAAGAAGAATGGGACTTTATTTATTGAACAGTCTCGTAGCAACTGCTGTTCTTCTCCTTACTGCACCAACAGGTGGGTTTCCTAACTTTGTTCTTGTGATGTTTGTTTTCGTTATGGTACTGGTGAATGTTTTTTGAGTATTTCTGATACTTTAATTTTATTTTTATTTAAATGTGCTGTAAATACCTGACACACGTGAAGGGATAATGTTGTACAGTCTTGGTTACTTTAATTACATTTAAAGTCATAATATTTTTTATAACAGTCCCCATCTACTACTACAGAGTAAGAATACTACAGGGTTTTTTTTTTGTCTTTGTTTCGAAATTTTGGAGCATTTAAAGTTATATTTATTGTTGTAATGATATGTTACCCAACATTTGCTATTTCCTGTAAATATTTATCTTGTGGCTATTCTTAGCAATCATTGGACAATCTAGCACATTCGAAGCTCCGTTTTTGACCAGTTTTATCAGATAAGCTCAGGATTGTTAATTATGGCTGAAAGACAGAAAGAGTTCAGTCATAACTAGACATATGTTTGCAATGTTGTTCCAACATTGGTACTTGTAGAAAAAAATCTAAGGACTACTTTAAATAATTATTTTCTTTCTATCTGCATATAATATAATCAGATTATACTTTGTTTTGATTTCCCACTGTTTCAGGTGTTGCTGTTAGAATCGTTCACCAGCAGATCGCTGACTGTGAATATGGAGACGACATCACAGACATGGTCTACTCGGTTAAAAACATCTTCAACACAAGGATCGAGAGCATGTACGACTCCAGGAGCAGAAAGTACGTGGGCTTCGACCAATACGGCGTCCGAAATGCCGAGCACTACAACAGTCTGGATTGGAAAAGCCTCGTTAGAGAGTTTGAGAAGGAGACTCTGTGCAGACACAGAGCCCAACTGTTCAGGAGAAGCACGCTGGAGAGGAAACGTGAGGTTTGATGTTTGTTCAAATTACACGGTTTTGGGTGATTTTTTTTATTTTATCTGTCCAGGTGCCAGGACTGAACGTCAACGTTTCTGTCTTTTTTTTAACATTGCGTTGTGCTGTATTGATAATCAGTAGTCAAAGTGTGCACTGTGTGTATGGCCCCATTTTGAGCAGTATGATATTGGGTGATTGATGTAGCTAATCGCTGCACAAATCTTTGCAGTGTGCTATTACTATTGCCACCTACTGGGGAGGCTAATTCATAACAGTACTCTCTGTTAGCAGAGAAATGTGTGTATTGAATACGTTTGTTGACTTGATTAATTTTGTTTTATTGAGTGCCATTTAGTTGATATCAACTCAGCTGTGTTGGATTCCCTCAAGGTGGGGGAGGGGGTTGATTTCAGGGGATGGATGAGGCCCCACTTGAAAATCTTGCTTCAGGCCCCCGTTTGCTTAGAGGCAGCACTGGTGATGAGTAGCCACATGGCAACCACTGCCAGAACATTAGCGTCAACTTTACCCACAGCTACCTCTGTAATCCTTTTCTCTTCTCCCCTTGCCCATGTTTGCAGAGCTGCAGCAGGATAGCCTCAAAGGAAGGATTTTTGTAGAGTTTGTGTTGCACACCCTACAGTATATAACACTTCCTTTAACAACCTATAGTACAGTGGAGTGGCTGCAAGACTTTTCTAAATTTCCTCTTAGCGTCATGTACACCGAGGTAAAAGGAAATTGTTTAAATGGTCCAGTGCTGGATTATGTTCTGTACCCCTGGGGCTGCAGAACTACAGTCACAGTCACTATCTAATTGATCTAATCTCATTTTAAATAATAGTTCTTGGCTAATAGTATGTTAACAGAAAACCTGATTAGGTGGTTTATTCCAAACCACAACTGTAGAGTGCCCTGCATGTGACCTAAGTGGAATAATACAGCCTCAGCCCAGACAATGAAGAGACACACCTTGGTAAAGCTAGCCTTCACTGTCTTTTCATATGTACGGATATTAACTCTCAAATTGCTGATGAGTCCAAATGTGGTTTAGACACACTTCCCCTGGAATTGTTTGACTGCTGCATCATTCCTCAGATGGCAGTGGTGCCTGGCAGGGTGACGGTGACGGTTTAGAGAAGTAAACGCTGGTTATTAGAGCACGAGACAAAGAAGAAGAACAGCCCTCTATCAATTGTTGCATTCAACAATTGCTGCAGGGTGAGTTTCTAATTTTAAGAACTAGTTTAATGAAAGCTGAAAGACCTGTTCATCTCACCGCATGCTTCGATGTTTGCGTCATCAAATTACCTCATAGAGAACAACGCGGAAAGTTTTACCGGAAAGTTTTAGGCTTTGGACGTTTGGATTTTTGAAACGGGATTATGAGGCAAAACAACAAAGCTTGAGGCTAATGTTGACTTTTTTTAAAGAAAAAGATGAGGTTTTGTTTTGTGTACGGTCTCTCAATCACTGCTGTTCTCCTTGTCATTGCTTCATCAGGTTGGTTTTTTTTCTCTTTTCTTTTCTTTTTCTGTTTTTTTTTTCCCGTTCCAGTCTAGAGCTCTTTCATGGACAGTCCATACTGTAGTGTCTGACAGACATAGTGAGTGATTGAATAGATTTAATTTGTGTTTCGAACGGTGGGTGGACACCCACAAACAGGAAACGGAAAACTTGTTTGGGCTGCAATGCTAACAGTTAGCTATTTCTGCAATATTTTTTAATATGAATAATTCTGTCTGTTTTGTGGCCTTTCATGGCCAACTTTACTATTATTTGCTTTCTGTGATTACCATTGTAGCTTATTCATACATATTTGCAAGACTAAGTTCAGGTATATTTTAGACCATTTTACTGTCAATTAGCAATTTCTGAGTTTACTCTGTATTTATTTGGTATTTTCGAGTAAGCTAATGTTGGGCGGTGTTAGGCTAATTTCGGGCTACAAGGAAGCTTTTGTGTTTTAATTATTACAAGCAAAATGTTGGCTAGCAGCTGTTGACAGTTTGATTGGGCTTTTTCTGTTTATGGACTTGTAATGTTTACTAAAATATCTTTGGCACAAACGCTTTTGAGATGTTTTTAGCGAAGCAAACAATACTGCGATAACACACTAGTAATTTACTAATTTATATTTCCATAATCAAATGTTCCAGGTGTTGCTGTTAGACTTGTGCATCAGCAGATCGCTGACTGTGAGTATGGAGAAGACTTCACAGACATGGTCTACTACGTAAAAAACATATTCAACAGGAAGTACGACAGTGTTTATGACTCCCGGATTGGAAAGTACGTTGGCTACGATGAATACGGCGTCAAAAATGCAGATCATTACAACAACCAGGATTGGAAAATGCTGTTGAGAAAAGCTGAAGTGGACACTCTTTGCAGATATAATGCAAGACAATACAGGATCAGCACCATTGATAGAAAAGGTGAAGTTGCCTGTCCCTTCTTCTTGTATTATACTAGGCATGCGCAAACTACGCCCAGGGGTCGGATGTGGCCAGTTTGGCTTTTTTAATCCGGCTCGCCAAACCATTAATTTCTATTTATTATATTTCTTCCTTTCCCCTGCAATGCCATCATTTTCCCAATAGATGGCATAGACAAGGCTGAAAGCATTTAAGCATTTTAGCCTTTACTGACTGACTTTAATGTCATTTGTTTTAGTTCATATCTGCTCCTGCCCTCGCCCCCCGTCAAGTTTTAGGACCCGCTGTGGCCTGAATTAAAAAAAATTGCCCACCCCTTGTGTTATGCTGATGGGACAGATGCACTGTTACGTTCACTGTCAAGTTCACCGTTTGTTAAACAATTCACATATTATAAATAATTCACTTATTACTGTGCATTTGCAGCAGTGTTAGGAATTTTTTGTTTTTTATGGCAATACCTATACTGCAACTTAGAGTATCTGAAGACACATGCATCAACCTGATACGTTCTACTCGAGGGCTGCTGTTGTTGGGGCAATAGTGTCACTGTTTTCGGTATGTTGCGCAAAATTAAGTCAAGCATTTGGGCAATATCAACTTGAGCCATCCCTAATAAAAAGCTAGTGGTTCTCTAGTGAGTGAATAAACAGAGGTGCCTAAGAGAACTAAATAAATGATAATAGTAAGTAAAATACCTGTCTGGAAATACGATTTTTTAGCTGGGTTTAGTGTCCGCAAGCGTATTCTACCGGTCCCTCCCTTCTGCTGGCAATTTTTTCAAACGGCAATTTTATTTACTATTACCAACGCTGTGTCTGTGTTTGACTACTGGGTTGGCTACCTACAAAGACATTGTGTCCATCCGTTCAAGCCTTTAGCTACAACCCATAAGAACATCTGTTGCTCCTAATTCTTTGCTAATTTTTTCTCCACAAAAGTTTGTTTAAATGTAACTGTATACTGTTTTCGTCTGCATTACAACACCATCATAACACCATTGATGTCCTACTGGGTCTGTACATGTCCTACACCAACCTCAACTACTTCTCTGCCACTCCCAATGTCCTTAGACTTCATCAGTGGTACTTTTCCTCCAAAAGGGATCTATCTATCCATATATCCATCCATCCATCCATCCATTCAGATCTTGTTTACTTTAGACTTTTTCTATGGCAGTTTACAACACAGAAATGTTAAATCATCTTTCCATTTTGTAATCATTACACAAAGTAATTTAAACATTTTAGCAACCTCTTCTATTCAATTTTTTGGTGATCATTTTGTTGTTTTTTTTAGCTAGCATCATGCTAAAATGTCAATTGTGAAAATGTTTTACCTGCTAAATTATTTTCGTCCCATTGTTACACATTTTATTTTGTGTCTTTGATACAGTATATATATATATATTTTATATATATATATATATATATATTGGTGGTTATGTTAAATGGCTTTATTTAATGTCATTTGTAAAAAAATTTTTAGGTAACTTTTAACTTATCTTATCAAATTGTCTAACATCTATTATTTTAATGTCTGTTTATTATTTCTTTGGTTAACTCAAGTTGAAAGTTCCCATCTATATCTTAATCTAAATACTTTTAATTTTCATTTGTGTTCTTTATTAGAATGTGTTTGAAGAAAACCCTCTATCCTCAGACTCTGTCCACAGTACTTCATTGAACTAACTCTTTGCCCAACTTTTCCACTTCCAGTGCCTCCAACTGTGAAGGTCCGTCAGACTAAGCATGCAGACTATGGGGAGCGGACGATGTTTGAGTGCAGCGTCTGGAGCTTCTACCCTCAGGCCATAAATGTGAGCTGGCTGATAGACGGAGTTGAGACCGTCACTGATGTGTCGTCCACAGACGTCCTGCCCAACGAGGACTGGACGTTCCAGCTTCACTCTTACCTGGAGCTGATATTGAAGAGAGGCGAGAGGCTGACCTGCAGAGTGGAGCACAGCAGTCTGGTGAAGAGCCTGGAGGTGGACTTTGGTAAGGAAAAAAAAAAAGTTAAATTGTTTTTTGTTTTTGTTTTTTTAAATCCACATAGAGACATTTTAGGTTATCTTTAATTGAATAGAAACATATAACATTTAGGACATTTAGTGAAATATGACATATATATATATACATATATATTATATACATATAAATATATTTTTTGTTTATTCTCCCAGACACATTTTCTCTGGATGCCAAATATATCAAACTGTCAGTCGGGTCAATCTTCTTCTGCATTGGCTTCACTGCAGCTGTGGGGGGCGCAGTTTACTACTGGTGGAAACGGAGGTGAGTGACGTCAGTGCTGCTGCTGTGGTTTGTGACAGAAGCCGAACTGTAACAACGTAACATATTTACAAACGAGCTGAAGAATAAAACTTCGATTGGATTAATCACAGGGTAGCTTAATTATGAACGATTAATCATGATTAGTGTTACTTAATTGAAACACTGAAACACTGACTGAAACAGACAGGAACCTGTTTTTTGTGACATATAAAGGTGATATTTTAAGTCCGAGCCGCTTCGTGGGACAAAAAGATTTGACCAATATATGTGCAAATACAGTGAGTATTAGAGCAACAATTTTATTTTTTCTAGTACTACTACTGCTATGACTACTTCTACTACTGCTACTGATAGTGTAGTAGTACTCCAAGTACAAGTAGTAGTAATTTTGGTTTATTTAATATAATTATTTTAAGGACAAATGAAAAAATTGAAAAATATATTTTTTATATATATTTACAATAACAGACAATAGAAGAATTTGTTGTTTTCTAATGTTCATTGTATGTGTATATGTGTACATACCTTTTATTGTGGGAATGGTATGTTTATTTATTAGATATTTGACAACCTGTAAACAAGTCAATACCCACAATCAGTGGGTGAAGAGAATTAATTTTTCTTCTTTATTTGAATCTGTCTCTTCTTTCATTTCTTTCAGGTCTGGTTTCAGCCCTGTTGACGGACGAGAACAGACCTCCACCAGTCTTTCAGACTTATAGATGATGGCTGTAAGAACATTTGACACAAACAGGTTGTAAAAGATGGCTGTAAGAACATTTGACACAAACAGGTTGTAAAAGCAGGCAAATTTTCTGTTTTAGTGTAGACATTGTAGGTTTAATCCAGTTAACAACATGCTTCACATTAAAAATAAATATTTGGATTTTATTTAAAAAGAAATTCTCTATTGTTTTGTTTTTATATTTATTATTACAAAGACAAACCCTTAAATGTCAGAACGTCCAGCTTTTTTCAGTGAATATAATGTATATATCTAGATATATAAATATATATATATTACCAGATAGATACTTAATTTATATTTAAGTTGTTATATTTTCCACTCGTAAAAGCCATCTAACAAAGCAAAAAAATTTACAACAATGCAACTGATAACAACAACGAAGAAGACATGGACAAAAAAAACAACAAGAACTAACAACAAAAGAAGGAAGAATCACTAATGTGCACAATTTAATTTTTATTTCCTACAGGAATAAAAACAATGACAAGAAAATTGATTATTAACAATAACAATGCTAACAAAATAATAATGATTATAATAACAGTACCAGGTATAGTTAGAAGTATAATATTATATCATAATTTTAATTAATTATTGTGAATAAAATATAAAATAAAGATGGTGATAAAAACAATATCAACAATAACAACAATTATTAAGAATATCATCAATGACAATGACAACAGTGACAACTACAACAACAGTAACAGCAACAACAATAACAATAAAATAACGAATAAAACCTCCATAATCAACAACACAATAATTATTTTTAATAATTGTTTTCCCTGAACTCCCTTTAAAAACACAAAAATCTGTCCTTCAGTCATTTCTTTTATCATCTTTACACTGGTTCCAGATAAACACCATCGTGAGAATAAGACCTGCTGTTTTCTTACTAAACCCCATCAACGTCACGTGATGTCATGACCTCTCTTTACTTTATCATTTTCAGATTTATTGGATTTTCTTTATTATATAAGTGTCTCCAATGACACGTCCTTGAAAAGTCTCTAATTCGTAACTGATGCACGTTTCTCAGACTCTTTATGTTTGCCTGATAAATGATGAGTTGCGAAACACATTAAATAAGTTAAGAGTGATGAAATAATCTGGAAAAAAAAGTTTGATAATTTTAAACTTGAGAGAAACCGACACTGAGCAACTGTTAAACATGCAGCCGCCTCGACCTTTCCTCCACCAAGATACAGTGTGACATAAATGTTTGCCTAACTTTTTTTCCAAAAAGGTAAAAGGTGTTCAAGTGTTTTAGGTCAAGAGCC